AGATGTGGGCAGCTCCAGTGTATGTGGCTGGTGCCCTAACCGCTGAGCACAGGTGCCAAGCCTATTTGCTAATTTTTTGATGAGAAATTTTGTACCTAGGTTCATGAGGGATATTTGTCTGCAGTTTTATTTTCTTATATTGTTTTTGTCTGATTTTGTCATCAGATTTCATAAAATGAGTTAGGAAGTGTTTTCCTCCTTTTGCACCTTCTATACAGAATATAATATGATTTTTTTCCTTCAATATTTGGTAGAATTTTCCAGTGAAACCATTGAGACCTGGAATTATCTTTGTTGGAATGTTTTAGCCATGAATTCAGTTTATTTAAATGGATATGGGACTATTTAGATTATCTATTTTTTTCTTAAGTGACTTTGAGTCAAAGTTAGTAATGAGCAAAAAAAATTGCTCATTTCATTTAAGCCATTGAATTTATAGCCAGAGTTATTAACGGTATTTCCTTATTACCTTTCTAAAGTCTGTAGGATCTGTAGAAATATCACTCCCTTCACTACTGTTTTTGGTAATTTGTGTCCCTCCTTTCTCTCTGTCTCTCTCATGCCCTCCTTCCCTTTTTTCCCCTTTCTCTCTCCCTCTCTCACTCTCTTCCTCTTCCTTCCTTCTATCCCTTTCCCCCCACTTCCTCTTTTAATTAGCCTAGATAGAGGTTTATCAATTTTATTGATCTTTGAAAAAAAAAACCTTTGGTTTTTATTGATTTTCTTTTAGTTTTCTTTTTTTTTTTAATTTCATTTATTTCTATTCTTATATTTATTATTTTCTTCTTTGTGCTTCCTTGATTTTTATTTAGTTTGCTCTTCTTTTTCTAGTTTCTTAAGGTCAAATCTTTTTTATTTTTATTTTTTGAGATAGAGTATCACTTTGTCACCCTTGGTAGAGTGCCATAGCATCATGGATCACAGAAACCTCAAACTCTTGGGCTCAAGTGATCCTCTTGCCTCAGCCTCTCAGGTAGCTGGGACTACAGGTGCCCTCCACAATGCCTGGCTATTTTTTAGAGAGGAGGTTCCACTCTTGCTCATGATGGTCTTGAACTCCTGAGCTCAAGGAATCCACC